CCTGGGGCGTCACCCTCCAACTGCTACATTTGAACAAAGATAAACAACATTCCATAATCCTAATACACGACAAACGGAAACAGATAAATCTGATTCTAGGTTTGGAAATAGGGTGAAAAGGGACATGGAGAAATGTCATAGTCTGGAAGCCTACCATTGGAGGATAAGTCTAGGAGAGAAGTGGGGACTTGGACTTTTTCCATGGTATGATGTAAAATTTTTGGCAGATCACATTGATAATATTACCTATACTTTGCAGGGTTTTGCAAATGAAACGATAAGAGGGTTTAACCTTCTGTCAAATACTCAAAGAAGTCACAGACTGAAGCTGTTGAAACATGACATGGCTCTTGACTATATTTTCGCAAAACAAGGTGGATTATGTTTGGCTATGAACTTGACGGGGGATGATTGTTATACTTTGATTCCCGATAGTTCCGATAATATCACTAGTGTTATAGATGCATTGAAGAATATAAGGGATGCGTTTGGTAGATCTGAAGGAGCTGGATGGTCAGCGAAGGCTTGGTTGCAAGATCAGTTAGGCCCAGTGGGAGCAGTGATAGTTCAGATTTTAGTAGCAGTTCTTATAGTGCTGTGTGTGATGTTTTGCTTTTGTACTTTGTTATTGACTTTTGCGAAGGCTATGATATTGAGATGGGTTAGAGTTGTGATGCCTGGAGAAAACACTCAGATGCAGTTGTTAACTGTTACTGATCTAGATGGAGATAAACAAGTGGGACTGGATGGAGTATTGATGGATAGATATCCATTTTGAATATCCGATCATTTTTCACGTCTTTACATATTATTGTGATATTTAGTATTTTGTTATGAATCGAAGGGGGGAAATGGAATGTGATTCATTTTCTATATCATTTTTATATTATTGTTGATGTTGATGTTTTAATTTGCATGTGTTGTTTTGCAAAAGATACTGTTTGGTGTTTTCTTTTCTTCCAGAAGCATATGGGTGAATGTGTATAGGGGATTCAAATACTCAAACATGGACAATATGAATGGACTGGAGGAAGTGGAACAAGGAAGGTGTGGAAATGTTCAGATTCTATCATCGACGTTGCATTGAAAGTCGACACTGCTGAGGAGATGAAGTGTAGTGGACTACATTGCAGTGTCTGCAATGATATATAGACATATTTGCATGTGTAATACATAATTTGTGTCATATTCTTTCTGTATTATTTTTTGAAGAATGATGTTTTCTGTTGTAGGGATCTCAGATGTTTTTGTTTTTTTCGTGAATCCTTAGGGATATTGGGTCTAGGCAGGGACAGAGAGAATCCACAGGAGGGTCCGATGGGTCGACCAGCCTGAATGTGGACATTTTTGATTGTATTTTGTTTTCTGAGGCTTTCATGTGTATTAAATTGCATCATAGTTTAAAATGCATTGATAAAGATTTATGAATTGATCTGGAGTACTTAGGTGGTTGCCTGGGGCAGAGGGGCCGTGAGAGAATTTTACTGTTTTGATTGATTGATGGATATTTGGAAAGAAAGCTGCCAGACAGGTTTTTCGCTCTCACACTCCATAAAGATTTGTTCATATTTCATAGAAATTAATTTACACTCCATAAAGATTTGTTCATATTTCATAGAAATGTATTTACACTCCATAGAAAAATGTGTTTACTCTCCATAAATGTTGGTTTATTGCTAAAGTTACTCAATAAGAGAAATTGTTATTTGTCATAATCCTATTCTTTTTGTTTGAGACTTAATTAGTCTCGAAGGGGGGAAATATGTAGTGTCTAAACAGTTTATGACTTTGCTGACGTTTGCAAATGGTGTGTTAGAGGAAGTAGACTCAGCTTGCGGAAGCATCTGGAAAGCATTACTATAGGGGCCCCCTAAAACAGAGGAAGTCTGTTATGTGGCGTCCTGGGATTGGTCTGTGGGGGAAACCACCCATATTATGTTACAGATTATAAATACCATGGTTGAAACAAAGGACGGGGAGGAACAACATATTAGAGATTGGGTTGGTTGTTCTCCAGATGTCTGCAAATTGATGCTGAAATCTTCGATGTAATAAACTATTATAATCAAGGACAGTGTCAGCGGATTTCTTGTCATCACAGCATCTCAGCATCGTTATCTCGACACTACAATAGTATTTAGAGAGGTAACGTTAAATGACTAGCTGATGGCAGCTTAAGTTAGTTCAAACAAAAACAAACTCACATTGGATATTTAACATGTGTTACTAGTACCAGCTAAGCAAGTCAGCCCACCAATATTACTTAAATGGATACAGGTCTTCGTTCAGTTGATTCTAGATGTAGCTAGCTAGGTTGTTGTCCATATGTCCAGCTATATCTCAGCCAGCTAGCCGCTAGAAATGGTGGAGAAGTGCTTAGCTAAATTCACCGCCACATTCAAAAAGCCAAGTCAGTCCTTCAGCACTCCGGTTTTTTTTGTGCGTAGCTAGCCATGTTAGCAAGTCAGCCCAATGTTCCTGTTTTCTGAAATCTTCTCAGCCAAGTATAGACATAATAAAGATATCCCTAGGTGCTCCTGGAGTTAAGCATTCATCTAGTTGCCGTGTAAAAATACATACAAAAAAGTGGCGTTAGCTAGCCAGCCAGATAGTAAACAGTGTGCCAGCTCCCGCTAGACAGCCAATTTGATTGTGATGTATTAGCTAACGTTGCCACTAATCTCAGTCAAACAAAACTAAATAAAATAAAGATGTAATCGGGTGCTCCTGGAATGAGAAAAACAAACAAACACTGCTTTCATGTGAAAAGTAATATCCAAGTGGATGTCATGAAAATCAGTCAGTTGCCAGCTAGCAAAGTAGCTAGCCACATATTCCTCCCGCCATGGGTAGCCAGCTGGGCCGCTTCCTTTACTCTATGCGCCGGACATAGAATGCTTTAGCCTCGGCCAGTGTGTCAAAAATTAGGGTCTCTCCCTCATAAAAGACACGAAGATCGGCAGGGTGTAGGAGCTGAAACTTTATCCCCTTTTTATATAGTTAGGTTTTGATGTCCTTGAATTCAGCTCTTTTCTTCACGAGATTGGCACTCAGGTCTGGGTAGAATCGTATATCTTGGCAACGGAATTTTGGTTGATGCTCCCTCGCCCAGCGCATTGCACATTCCATGTCTTGGTAATGATGAAAGCGGGCTATGATCGCCCTAGGCCGCTCCCCTGAGTTGGGTTTGGGGGCGAGGGATCTGTGTGCTCGGTCGAGCTCCAGCGGCTTATCAAAGACACCGTTATCCATCACTTCCACCAGCATGTCGGAGACAAATTTCACAGGGTTGACTCCAGTCTCAATTCCCTCCATGACGCCAACGATCCGGATGTTTTCCATTCTGGTATCATTCTCCAACGAATCTACCTTGGAAAGTAGAGCTGTGTTGGCCGTTTTCATATGAGATACAGCTGCCTCTAGCTCGGCCATCCGCTCGGTGTTGTCTGTGGAGAAACCTTCTAGTGTAGTGAGGCGTCGCCCAAACGTGTTGACTGTTTCTCAAAAGGCGTCAATGGAAGTTTGGAGAGGTGACAGTGAAGTGCTGATGAGAGAAGCCATGTTCTCTTTTAGGCTACTTCTTTGTTTAGCTAGCTCAGCTACAAGCGTGGTCATAGACAAGGCCTCCGACTCTGCAGCAGGGCTGGCCGCGGCAGCCATTTTCTGTGTTCGAATAGTTGGTTTGGATGTGTTAGTCGTAGCAGTTCTCTTCGGGTTGGTCTTGCTCATTGGTACCATGAAAAGTGATTAAAATAATATAACCAACTGATACATCCACATAAGAACTAACAGCGGCATGTAAAAAAAAACCTGGTTAAAATTAAAGTTTAATTGGGGACCTCTCAAACACGTCTTCTCACATCGCCCGACCGGAAGTCAGAGTGCCATTTTTTTGTCCCCAGCACAAGGTGCACCTGTGTAATGATCATGCTGTTTAATCAGCTTCTTGAAATGCCACACTTGTCAGGTGGATAGATTATCTTGGCAAAGGAGAAATTTGTGCACAAAATTTGAGAGAAATAAGCTATTTCTCGATATGGAAAATTTCTGGGATCTTTTATTTCAGCTCATGAAACATTGGGACCAACACTTTACATGTTGCACATTTTGTTTTTGTTAAGTGTATAATATATCATCTCAAATCAATGTAAATAATTCATATTTTATCAGAAAATACCTCAAGAACAAAGTCCACTATGTTTAGTCAAAGCCTACAAACCAATAGAGGGAAACATTGTTGAACAGGCTCAGTGAAGGGAAAACCCCTTGGAGTTTGGTCATTGTTCCTTCTTGCAGTGATGTAACTCATGAATATATTTTCTCAATATTTCCTGCTCATATCAGGTTTTGATGTTACTGTAGACCGCTCTTATTTGCAGCCCTGTCTTAATACTTATTTGTGGAGTTAGAACTAATCACAGACATTTGTTACATCAGAAGAGATGGTGGCAGCGGCATTCGTCTCTCTTACTATGACAATACTCTCAGGTGAGTCCTTACCTGCTACTAGCACTAAAATACAGCCACTCATAGGTTAACCCTAAAAGCCCCAAGAAAAAATTTGTATCATTTAGAAACCCTTTTTGTCTTCAATCAATAGCAGGTTCTTTGTCAATAATTACAGACATACAGTTTCAATTATGTTAATATCCAACTCTAAGGCCATACCCATTTAAGTAAATGTTTAACGGACACCTTGTCCATAGACTTCTTATAGGGTAAAGAAACCAATATTTAATTTGTAATTTGGGTGAACTATCCCTTTAAGGTCGTGACACGTATTCTCATTAATCCTGCTTAATATTTGCTTGCAAAAAATATAGTTATTCCACTAGGCACAGCGGCTACCATAGTGGCTTCAAAAATGTTATTGATAAAATCATTATTTTATAAGAGCGTATAAGAAGTATTTGAAAACGTTCCACTTATGTCTTTGGTTACAGTATTTTGTTGTTTTTTTGGAGACATTATAATCAAACCCTTTTGTTATTTCCTCAGGATATTGTGCTGGTCTAGAAGTGCTTCCACCTGGACCTGTGAATGGAACATTGGGAGGAAATGTGGTTTTCAAAACCACCATCAATCCAACCACACTTTTTATAATCTCTTGGACATTTGGGGATCCACCGGTCTCTATTGTTGACTTACTCAGTTCTGAAGGTCCTGTGACCGGAGTGGGATATGTTGGTAGGATCAGTCTGGACAATAGCACTGGATCTCTGGAGCTCAGGAAACTGACCCTGGCTGACAGTGGAACATACAGAGTGATCATAGGGGAGTCTGATTTTATGCAGTTGGCAGTTACTTCACTGAATGTCTATGGTGGGTACACCCTGAGTTCCAAAATATGTCACTTAATGTTAAATGTAAATAGATATTGTATTGAGTTGTCAACTAATGTGAATTTAACGAACTTCCATAAAACCTATAAAAAACAAAAAACAGAATGTGCTTGTTGAAATGCAGTTACTCTAGCCTTTAATGGCCAAAAGCTTGTGGACACCTGCTGGTCGAGCATCTCATTCGAAAATCACAGGCATTAATATGGAGTTGGTCCCTTCTTTGCTGCTATAACAGCCTCTTTTCACTAGATGTTGGAACATTGCTGCGAGGACTTGCTTCCATTCAGCAACAAGAGCATTAGGGAGGTCGGGCACTGATGTTGGGCAATTAGGCCTGACTCGTTGTCTGCGTTCCAACTCATCCCATAGGTGTTCGATGGAATTGAGGTCAGGGCTCTGTGCAGGCCAATCAAGTTCTTCCACACAGATCTCGACAAACCATTTCTGTATGGACCTCGCTTTGTGCACGGGGGCAGTGTCATGCTGAAACAGGAAAGGGCCTTCCCCAAGCTGTTGCCACAACGTTGGAATCACAGAATCATCTAGAATGTCAGTGTTAAGATTTCCCTTCATTGGAACTATGGGGACTAGCCCGAACCATGAAAAACAGCCCCAGACCATTATTCCTCCTCCACCAAACTTTACAGTTGGCACAATGCATTGGGGCAGGTAGCGTTCTCCTGGCATCCGCCAAACCCAGATTTGTCCGTCAGACTGCCAGATGGTGAAGTGTGATTAATCACTCCAGAGAACGCGTTTCCACTGCTCCAGAGACCAATGGTGGCGAGCTTTACACCACTCCAGCCGATGCATGGCATTGCGCATGGTGATCTTAGGCTTGTGTGCGGCTCCCATCGAACATGTATTGTGCTGATGTTGCTTCCAGAGGCAGTTTGGAACTCGCTAGTGAGTGTTGCAACCGAGGACAGACAATTGTTATGCGCTTCGCGCTTTAGCACTCAGCGGTCCCGTTCTGTGAGCTTGTGTGGCCTACCACTTCGCAGCTGATCCGTTGTTGCTCCTAGAAGTTTCCACTTCACAATAACATTACTTACAGTTGACCGGGGCAGCTCTAGCAGGGCAGACATTTGACTAACTGACTTGTTGAAAAGGTGACATCCTAAGACGGTGCCGTGTTGAAAGTCACTAAGCTCTTCAGTATGGGCCATTCTATTGCTAATCTGTGTCTATGGAGATTGCATGGCTGTGTGCTCGATTTTATACAACTGTCAGCAACGGGTTTTTGCTGAAATAGCTGAATCCACTCATTTGAAGGGTTGTCCACATACTTTTGGCCATGTAATGTATCTCTTGACACTTTACGATCTTGGAGAAAAGTCTGGCCTTAATGGCCATGTACTGTTATAATCTCCACCTGGCACAGCCAGAAGGGGACTGGCCACCCGTCAGAGCCTGGTTCCTCTCTAGGTTTCTTCCTAGGTTTCTGCCTTTCTAGGGAGTTTTTCCCAGCCACCGTGCTTCTACATCTGCATTGCTTGCTGTTTGGGGTTTTAGGCTGGGTTTCTGTATAGCACATTGTGACATCTGCTGATGTAAAAAGGGCTTTATGAATAAAATTGGATATATTGATACTACATTCATGATCAATGGTGAGAAACAAAGCAACTGCAAGGGCCATGGGTGCGACCAACAGTGTTGGGGTCAATTCCATTTAAATTCCAGTCAATTCAAAAAGTGAACCAAACTCCAATTCAAATTCAAGAAAATATATAATTGAAAACCATGGCATAGAATTTGAATTTGAATTTTAGTGTACTTTCTGAATTGACTGGAATTTAAATGGAATTTACCCCAACCCTGGCGACCACCCCAGGGCCCAAAAAATAATAATAATAATAATAATTCTTCAAAGGATGAAGAAAAAACATTATTTATCACTGTAAAACATGGCAAAATGTATATATAATACGATTTCATTAAATCCTGGAATTGGTCTGAGCTGATGTTGCTTATTTTATAAAGCAGTGTACAGCTGTCTGTTGCTGTACCCCCTTGAGGACCCCCCTGTCCTGGGACTGGCAGCTGCCTGGGCTGGTGGCTGGGTGCTGCTGGGAGAGACCAGGGTCTTCAAAATTATTACTCATTTATTTATTTATTTAGTACGTTTGTTAGTTTAAAAATGTTTTGGGTGTCTAACTAATAGTCTACTTCATACAGTACCAAAACAACATGAAAATAATTTTCCAGAAAATTGTTCTAATATAATGAAAACAGATTGTTTAGCTAGGCCTTTTCAATGTTCATAGTGAATTTTTTCAATCATCTCACAGCCAAGAGACTATAGGCCATTACTGAACATGCAGCTACTGTAATGAAGCAGGCAACGTATTAGGCGACATCATTTTCAAACTATTTCCAAAATGCAATTAGTGGGAAAACACCATTCTAATGGACAAGCGAGCGGTTTCATGTGACAGATGTGAAAATCTCAGTTAGAAACTTAGAAGGAGGGGAAATCTAAAGATGCAAAAACTAGGATGGGATGCTAATATGACTAGAATTGTGCCTTTGGCTTATGGACAACGAAAGGAAGTTGATATAAAAATTAATAGAACAAGTGAGAAATGCTGCTTTCACTGGCATATGTGGAATCTAAACATTTCTATGGTTGGATTTTTATGTTATTTTCGCAAAACCACAATAATTTGTATTATCTCATCTTGTACTCTTTTCACTGAAACAGTATCTGGTGCTACTATCACAATCACACCAAACCCACCAATCATGGAGGGGGGCTCTGTCACCTTAACCTGTGATGCTGCTGGCTTCAACATCACCAGAGAGTGGATGAAGGTTGGTCAGCTTCTGTCTGCTGGTGGCAACATGATCATCTCTGAGGATAAGAGAGTGCTGTCCATAAACCCTGTGAAGAGAACAGACAGTGGACAATACCTGTGTAGAGTCAGCAACCCTGTCATCTCTGAAAATGCCAGTGACACTGTGAATGTAATCTGTAAGTACTTCCCTATAAGCCTGGGGATACATGTACCAGATAAATGTACCAACTGCACGGCGCTTGTAACGCCAAGGTAGTGGGTTCAATCCCCGGGACCACCCATACACAAAAATAAATAAATGTATGCACGCATGACTGTAAGTCGCTTTGGATAAAAGCGTCTGCTAAATTGCATATTATTATTATTATTATCATCATCAATAGGTGCACATTAAAATAATAAAACAATGAATGAACACTTTACACCAACTATTATGACTCCAATGTCACACTGATTACAAACTAATAAACTTGTAGCTATGAATAAGTGATAATCTCTGTGTTACAGATGGACCTGATGGTATGGAAATCAAGGGTCCAACTGAAATAGAAGTAGGACAGAAGTTAACATTGACCTGCTCTGCTGACTCCAACCCGCCTGCTAGTTACATCTGGATGCTCAATGAAACAGAGATACCTGGACATTCACCTGAGTTCACTAAAGAGAAGAGTGAATACTCTGACAGTGGGGATTACACCTGTACAGCAACAAATTATGTAATTGGAAACAAAACATCTGCAGTCCACAAACTGTCGGTAAAAGGTAAAGTTTTTCAAAAACTGTCAAGACAATATGAACATAGTAAGAGATAATAATTAAATACTAATTCTGGATTTCAAACATGTATTGAAATAGTGTGATTCTTGTGTTGTAACCCATTTGCACTATAATGTGCAGTACTTCCCAGGCGGGGGGACAAAAATTCAGCCCTGGCATTTCGTCTTTGCTTCTCCTTGTGCTCCTCTGTTGTCATTCTGTCTGTCTGTATGTCTGTCTGTCACCTAAGTGTTTTTAGGAGGTATATCAGCTTTAGTAATGCAGATAGAAGCCACAATCTATCATTGTACTTGTCTGCATCATTTCCAATTCCCTATATACAGTACCAGTCAAAAGTTTGGACACACCTACTCATTCAAGGGTTTTTCTTTATTTTAATTTTTTGATGACAGTTTTCCACACTCTTGGTATTCTCTTAACCAGCTTCACCTGGAATCATTTTCCAACAGTCTTGAAGGAGTTCCCACATATGCTGAGCACTTGTTGGCTGCTTTTCCTTCACTCTACGGTCCAACTCATCCCAAAACATCTCAATTGGGTTGAGGTCGGGTGATTGTGGAGGCCAGGTCATCTGTTGCAGCACTCCATCACTCTCCTTCTTGGTCAAATAGCCCTTACACAGCCTGGAGGTGTGTTTTGGGTAATTGTTCTGTTGAAAACAAATGATAGTCCCACTAAGCGCAAACCAGATGGGATGGCGTATCGCTGCAGAATGCTATGGTAGCCATGCTGGTTAAGTGTGCCTTGAATTCTAAATAAATCACTGACAGTATCCCCAGCAAAGCACCATTACACCTCCTCCTCTGTGCTTCACGGTGGGAACCACACATGCGGAGATCATCCGTTCACCTACTCTGCTTCTCACAAAGACACAGCGGTTGGAACCAAAAATCTCTAATTTGGACTCATCAGACCAAAGGACAGATTTCCACCGGTCTAATGTCCATTGCTCGTGTTTCTTGGACCAAACAAGTCTCTTCTTCTTATTGGTGTCCTTCAGTAGTTTTTTCTTTGCAGAAATTCGACCATGAAGGCCTGATTCACACAATCTGCTCTGAACAGTTGATGTTGAGATGTGTCTGTTACTCTGTGAAGCATTTATTTGGGCTGCAATTTCTGAGGCTGGTAACTCTAATGAACTTATCCTCTGCAGCAGAGGTAACTCTGGGTCTTCGTTTCCTGTGGCGGTCCTCATGAGAGCCAGTTTCATCATAGCGCTTTATGGTTTTTGCGACTGCACTTCAAGAAACTTTAAAAGTTCATGACATTTTCCGGATTGACTGACCTTCATGTCTTAAAGTAATGATGGACTGTTGTTTCTCTTTGCTTATTTGAGCTGTTCTTGCCATAATATGGACTTGGTCTTTTACCAAATAGGTCTATCTTCTGTATACCACCCTTACCTTTTCACAACACAACTGATTGTCTCAAACGCATTAAGAAGGAAAGAAATTCCACAAATTAACTTTTAACAAGGCACACCTGTTAATTGAAATGTATTCCAGGTGACTACCTCTTGAAGCTGGTTGAGAGAATGCCAAGAGTGTGCAAAGCTGTCATCAAGGCAAAGGGTAGCTACTTTGAAAATTCTCTACATGATTGCATGTGTTTTTTCATAGTTTTGATGTCTTCACGATTAATTTACTATGTAGAAAATAGTAAAAAATAAAGAAAAACCCTTGAATGAGCAGGTGTTCTAAAACTTTTGACCAGTAGTGTATTTTCAAAAAAGATTATGAGGGATTGGAAGTGATGCAGACAATTACATTTATGGAAGCTACAATCTATCTGCAATATTAAAGCTGATCTACCCCCTAAAAAATAAAAATAAAACAAATAAGATAAGGGCCAAGTTAGCAGCCAACACTGATCTAATGTCATAAGTGCACACACCACAAACATCAATTTACACACTGTTTACAATTAGAGTATTTAGAACACCCACAGTCCTCTACATGAGATTGTGCTGCTGATGCCAAGTCCCATAGCAGTCTCTTTCTGCTGTGAAGCAGAGGGTAACAGCACAAGTAGTGCAGGTGATGGGAGATTTCTTGTGGCATAGAGTACAACGACACCTTCCTGCAGCGCTCTTACCCTGAGGCACATTCAGGTCTGCAGTTAAAGTGGGGAGAACAAGTATTTGATACACTGCTGATTTTGCAGGTTTTCCTACTTACAAAGCATGTAGATGTCTGTAATTTTTATCATAGGTACACTTCAACTGTGAGAGATATGGAATCTAAAACAAAAATCCAGAAAATCACATTGTAAGATTTTTAAGTAATTAATTTGCAATTTATTGCATGACATAAGTATTTGATCACCTACCAACCAGTAAGAATTCCGGCTCTCACAGACCTGTTAGTTTTTCTTTAAGAAGCCCTCCTGTTCTCCACTCATTACATGTATTAACTGCACCTGTTTGAACTCGTTACCTATATAAAAGACACCTGTCCACACACTCAATCAAACAGACTCCAACCTCTCCACAATGGCCAAGACCAGAGAGCTGTGTAAGGACATCAGGGATAAAATTGTAGACCTGCACAAGGCTGGAATGGGCTACAGGACAATAGGCAAGCAGCTTGGTGAGAAGGCAACAACTGTTGGCACAATTATTAGAAAATGGAAGAAGTTCAAGATAACGGTCAATCACCCTTGGTCTGGGGCTCCATGCAAGATCTCACCTTGTGGGGCATCAATATCATGAGGAAGGTGAGGGATCAGCCCAGAACTACACGGCATGACCTGGTCAATGACCTGAAGAGAGCTGGGACCACAGTCTCAAAGAAAACCATTAGTAACACACTACGCCGTCATGGATTAAAATCCTGCAGCGCACGCAAGGTCCCCCTGCTCAAGACAGCGCATGTCCAGGCCCGTCTGAAGTTTGCCAATGACCATCTGGATGATCCAAAGGAGGAATGGGAGAAGGTCATGTGGTCTGATGAGACAAAAATAGAGCTTTTTGGTCTAAACTCCACTCGCCGTGTTTGGAGGAAGAAGAAGGATGAGTACAACCCCAAGAACACCATCCCAACCGTGAAGCATGGAGGTGGAAACATCATACTTTGGGGATACTTTTCTGCAAAGGGGACAGGACGACTGCACCGTATTGAGGGCAGGATGGATGGGGCCATGTATCGCGAGATCTTTGCCAACAACCTCCTTCCCTCAGTAAGAGCATTGAAGATGGGTCATGGCTGGGTCTTCCAGCATGACAACGACCCGAAACACACAGCCAGGGCAACTAAGGAGTGGCTCCGTAAGAAGCATCTCAAGGTCCTGGAGTGGCCTAGCCGTCTCCAGACCTGAACCCAATAGAAAATCTTTGGAGGGAGCTGAAAGTCCGTATTGCCCAGCGACAGCCCCGAAACCTGAAGGATCTGGAGAAAGTCTGTATGGAGGAGTGGGCCAAAATCCCTGCTGCAGTGTGTGCAAACCTGGTCAAGACCTACAGGAAACGTATGATCTCTGTAATTGCAAACAAAGGTTTCTGTACCAAATATTAAATTCTGCTTTTCTGATGTATCAAATACTTATGTCATGCAATAAAATGCAAATTATTACTTAAAAATCATACAATGTGATTTTCTGGATTTTTGTTTAGATTCCGTCTCTCACAGTTGAAGTGTACCTGTGATAAAAATTACAGACCTCTACATGCTTTGTAAGTAGGAAAACCTGCAAAATTGGCAGCGTATCAAATACTTGTTCTCCCCACTGTATGTATTTTGGCTGGGCGGGGGTGGGTGTGGAGCCAGAGACAGCAGCAGGGGTCAGGCTGGAGGAATGGAGGGATGGAGGACTTGAATGTGATCTCTTTGGAGTTGGCTCCCAGAGGACATTTGAGTCTCTACCACTATTGACGATTTTTAAAAATTAAGTTAGAACTCAAGTTCACTATTACTTATTTTATTTAACCTTTATTTTAGCAAGGGTTGAGCCCTGCATCAATACTTTTACAGATGAGCCCTGCATTATGTAAAATACACAACACATACAGTGGGGAAAAAAAGTATTTAGTCAGCCACCAATTGTGCAAGTTCTCCCACTTAAAAAGATGAGAGAGGCCTGTAATTTTCATCATAGGTACACGTCAACTATGACAGACAAAATTAGAAAAAAAAAATCAAATCACATTGTAGGATTTTTTATGAATTTATCTGCAGATTATGGTGGAAAATAAGTATTTGGTCAATAACAAAAGTTTCTCAATACTTTGTTATATACCCTTTGTTGGCAATGACACAGGTCAAACGTTTTCTGTAAGTCTTCACAAGGTTTTCACACACTGTTGCTGGTATTTTGGCCCATTCCTCCATGCAGATCTCCTCTAGAGCAGTGATGTTTTGGGGCTGTCGCTGGGCAACACGGACTTTCAACTCCCTCCAAAGATTTTCTATGGGATTGAGATCTGGAGACTGGCTAGGCCACTCCAGGACCTTGACATGCTTCTTACGAAGCCACTCCTTCATTGCCCGGGCGGTGTGTTTGGGATCATTGTCATGCTGAAAGACCCAGCCACGTTTGATCTTCAATGCCCTTGCTGATGGAAGGAGGTTTTCACTCAAAATCTCACGATACATGGCCCCATTCATTCTTTACTTTACACTGATCAGTCGTCCTGGTCCCTTTGCAGATAAACAGCCCCAAAGCATGATGTTTCCACCCCCATGCTTCACAGTAGGTATGGTGTTCTTTGGATGCAACTCAGCATTCTTTGTCCTCCAAACACAACGCGTTGAGTTTTTACCAAAAAGTTATATTTTGGTTTCATTTGACCATATGACATTCACCCAATCCTCTTCTGGATCATCCAAATGCACTCTAGCAAACTTCAGATGGGCCTGGACATGTACTGGCTTAAGCAGGGGGACACGTCTGGCACTGCAGGATCCCTGGCGGCGTAGTATGTTACTGATGGTAGGCTTTGTTACTTTGGTCCCAGCTCTCTGCAGGTCATTCACTAGGTCCCCCCGTGTGGTTCTGGGATTTTTGCTCACCGTTCTTGTGATCATTTTGACCCCACGGGGTGAGATCTTGTGTGGAGCCCCAGATCGAGGGAGATTATCAGTGGCCTTGTATGTCTTCCATTTCCTAATAATTGCTCCCACAGTTGATTTCTTCAAACCAAGCTGCTTACCTATTGCAGATTCAGTCTTCCCAGCCTGGTGCAGGTCTACAATTTTGTTTCTGGTGTCCTTTGACAGCTCTTTGGTCTTGGCCATAGTGGAGTTTGGAGTGTGACTGTTTGAGGTTGTGGACAGGTGTCTTTTATACTGATAACAAGTTCAAACAGGTGCCATTAATACAGGTAACGAGTGGAGGACAGAGGAGCCTCTTAAAGAAGAAGTTACAGGTCTGTGAGAGCCAGAAATCTTGCTTGTTTGTAGGTGACCAAATACTTATTTTCCACCATAATTTGCAAATAAATTCATTAAAAATCCTACAATGTGATTTTCTGGATTTTTTTTCCTCATTTTGTCTGTCATAGTTGACGTGTACCTATGATGAAAATTACAGGCCTCTCTCATCTTTTTAAGTGGGAGAACTTGCACAATTGGTGGCTGACTAAATACTTTTTTCCCCCACTGTATTTCCCTCATTAAAATGCAAATCAATTTATAACATTTTTGACATGCGTTTTTCTGGATTTTTTTGTTGTTATTCTGTCTCTCACTGTTCAAATAAACCTACCATTAGACTGATCATTTCTTTGTCATTGGGAAAACGTACAAAATCAGCAGGGGATCAAATGCTTTTTTCCCTCACTGTATGCTGTATATAGAAATCGAATAAAAAATCTAATATGAACATGCAACCATTTAAACAACTGCATTAGCATGAGAAGCAAAAACATATTTTACTTACTGATCTAAAAGTGGATATTTTCCTTCGAAATACATTTCATTTTGAATAAAAACTGTGCTCACTCAGAGTCCTCTATAATACATCTCTGGGACCCTCAGGATGACAAATCAGAGCAAGATTACTGAATATAAGTACATTATTTACAGTCAGAGGTGAATGTATCAAACCAGTTGCCTCGATAAATGTGTTTTGTTGTTGAGCACTATCCTCAAACAATAGCATGGTATTTTATCGCTGTAATAGCTACTGTAAATTGGACACTGCAGTTAGATTAACAATCATTTAAGCTTTCAGACGATATAAGACATGTCTATGTCCTGGAAAGTTGGCTGTTGTTTACAACGCCATTCTAGTCAAATATCGCATATTGAGCAACAACTGCCCGATTTTGGGACATTGATCCAGTAGAAGTTATTAATTAATTATACTCTGGTATTGAATATGGTTCTGTCATTAATTTGCTTTGGAACAGCTGTTTTTGAATAGTTGTTTTCTTCAAGTGGCTTAAATTACTAATGAATCAAGCCTGCCTACTTTTGCTGGCAGATGCTGTTGAGGGGGTAACTCAACTAGATCTACACTGAGTATACACACCTGCTCTTTACATGACATAGACTGACCAGGTGAAAGTTATGATCCCTTGTTGATGTCTCTTGTTAAATCCACTTCAATCAGTGTAGATGCAGGGGAGGAGCCTTGAGAAAACTGAGACATGGATTATGTAAATTATGTGTGCCATTCAGAGGGTGAATGGGCAAGAAAAAATATTTAAGTGCCTTTGAACGTGGTATGGTAGTAGGTTCCAGGTGCACAGGTTTGTGCCAAGAACAGCAACGCTGCTGGGTTTTTCACGTTCAACAGTTTCCTGTGTTTCAATAATGATCCACCACCCAAAGGACATCCAGCCAATTTGACACAACTGTGGGAAGCATTGGAGTCTACATGGGCCAGCATCCCTGTTGAACGCTTAAACGCCATGTAGAGTCCATGTCCCGACGTATTGAGGGTTTGAGGTTTGTATAAGCCCTTGCAAGGTTTTTGAGAACACAGTATTTAAAAATTATTGTTGGTGGAATGGAACCTGCTCATTGGTCAGTCATGTGAATGAGGAACGAGTATGAGAAATTTCGCCTTTCAGGCCTTGTGAATATCGACATGCTATACTACGCAGAATCATTTCCATACTTTCTTCCCACCAAAAAAACATTTTGTTACCTTTGTCATTAATCATTTTCCACCTGTTCTGCATGGCAAGACTAAAACACATTTTTTAAACTCTTTTTACAGAACCAATATCAGGTGCTACCATCACTAGTACCCCACAACCTCCAATCATCGAGGGGAGATCTGTCACCTTAACCTGTGATGCTTCTGGCTCCATCATCACTGGAGAGTGGATGAAGGATGATCAGCCTCTGTCGGATGGTGGCAATGTTTTCTTCTCTGTTGATAAAAAGAGAGTATCTATCAGTCCTGTTAATAAAGGTGACTCTGGGAAATACCTGTGTAAACTCACCAACCCCCTCAGCTCTGCTAAGGCTGAATACAGTCTGACTGTACACCGTAAGTAGTCTGCTATAAGCATGTTATTACTCACAGAATTATTGCTTTTGAAAATAATTGCTGAGAGTAATTGTGTGAGAATGCATTCTACTAGTAATATGTGGATAATGCTCACTAACAGTATCACACTTGTATTTTATGACTTATAATTTATGAATGAACACATACAAATGTTAACATTTCATGTTCATTGTGTGTAGTCTTTCTCTCATCTCTGGTTCTCTCCCTGGTCTCTGCAGCGGAGAGATATGTAACACCACTTTCTGCTGGTGCCATCGCTGGGATTGTTATTGGAGAATTGTTGGTTGTGGGAGGGGCAGTTGGTGTGGCAGTCTTCTTCATCGTGAAAAAGGGGTGAATAAAATGTATTTGTTCTTTCAAACTTCAGACTAAGGTTACTCTTTGCAAATATGTTTTCTGTCAGTGTAGGCACAATTCTGGTATAGGGGTATGACTTTGTTTTATTAATGTTAGTGATCACAATTTGAATAGCACTATTAATGTATGGTTTCACAGATAATTATATATATATTTTTTAATCTGTGACATTTCAATATGTATTTTTCATTGTATACAGAGCCAAGTCCTCTAACCCAATGCAACGAGGAGGTGAGCATGTATAACCATTATGATATCTATATAAGAATTCATTGCAAGTGTTTCTTCCATCCTCTGAGAAATGCCAAGACGGTCAAACTGCAGACAAATAACATTCAAAACAGCGCCGGAAGAAGATGGCTGCCGTTTTACAGCCCTCTAACCAATTGTACTATTATGTGTGTTTTTCCGCGTTATTTGTAATTTATTTTGTACATAATGTTTCTGCCATCGTCTCTTATAACCAAAGAGAGCTTCTGGATATCAGGACAGCGATTACTCACCTCGCGTTGGACGAACACTTTTTCTTCAACGAGGCGTTCGCGAAGGATATTCTACAGACTCCCGACAAGGCCCAGATCCCCGTCATTCGCGTGAGGAAGAGACGGAGATATCGTGGACGCAGATCCGGGTGCCTTGTAAGGATCCGACGGCGAACGAGTAAACTGCCTCTCCCATCAATCCTATTAGCCAACGTTCAAGCTTTGGAGAATAAAATGGACGATTTAAGATTACGGTTATCCTACCAACGGGACATTAAAAACTGTAATATCTTATGTTTCACGGAGTCGTGGCTGAACGACAACAATGACAACATTCAGCTAGCAGGCTATACGCTACATCGGCAGGACAGAACGGCAGACTCGGGTAAGACGAGGGGTGGCGGTCTCTGTATATTTGTAAACAACAGCTGGTGCACAAAATCAAATACTAAGGAAGTCTCAAGGTTTTGCTCGCCTGAGGTAGAGTATCTTATGATAAGCTGTAGACCACACTATTTACCAAGAGAGTTTTCATCTATATTTTTCATAGCTGTCTATTTACCACCACAAACCAATGCTGGCATTAAGATTGCACTGAATGAGTTGTACAAGGCCATTAATCAACAGGAAAACGCTCATCCAGATGCAGCGCTCCTAGTAGCAGGGGACTTTAATGCAGGGAAACTTAAATCCGTTCTACCTCATTTCTACCAGCATGTTAAATGTGCAACCAGAGGGGAAAAAACTCTAGACCACCTTTACTCCACACACAGAGACGCATACAAAGCTCTCCCTCGCCCTCCATTTGGCAAATCTGACCATAACTCTATCCTCCTGATTCCTGCTTATAAGCAAAAACTGAAGCAGGAAGCACCAGTGATTCGGCTAATAAAAAAGTGGTCAGATGACGCAGATGCTAAGCTACAGGACTGTTTTGCTAGCACAGACTGGAACATGTTCCGGGATTCTTCAGACAGCATTGAGGAGTACACCACATCAGTCACTGGCTTCATCAATAAGTGCATCGATGATGTCGTCCCCACAGTGACCGTACGTACATACCCCAACCAGAAGCCATGGATTACAGGAAACATCCGCACTGAGCTAAAGGGTAGAGCTGCCGCTTTCAAGGAACGGGACTCTAACCCGGACGCTTATAAGAAATCCCGCTATGACCTCCGACGAACCATCAAACAGGCAAAGAGTCAATACAGGTCTAAGATTGAATCATACTACACTGGCTCTGACGCTCGTCGGATGTGGCAGGGCTTGAAAACTATTACAGACTACAAAGGGAAGCACAGCCGCGAGCTGCCCAGTGACACAAGCCTACCAGATGAGCTAAACCACTTCTATGCTCGCTTCGAGGCAAGCAACACTGAAGCATGCATGAGAGCACCAGCTGTTCCGGACGACTATGTGATCACGCTCTCCGTAGCCGATGTGAGTAAGACTTTTAAGCAGGTCAACATTCACAAGGCCGCAGGGCCAGACGGATTACCAGGACGTGTACTCCGAGCATGTGCTGACCAACTGGCAAGTGTCTTCACTGACATTTTCAACATGTCCCTGACTGAGTCTGTAATACCAACATGTTTCAAGCAGACCACCATAGTCCCCGTGCCCAAGAACTCTAAGGTAACCTGCCTAAATGACTACCGACCCGTAGCACTGACGTCTGTAGCCATGAAGTGCTTTGAAAGACTGGTCATGGCTCACATCAACAGCATAATCCCAGAAACCCTAGACCCACTCCAATTTGCATACCGCCCCAACAGATCCACAGATGATGCAATCTCTATCGCACTCCACACTGCCCTTTCCCACCTGGACAAGAGGAACACCTACGTGAGAATGCTATTCATTGACTACAGCTCAGCATTCAACACCATAGTGCCCTCAAAGCTCATCACTAAGCTAAGGATCCTGGGACTAAACACCTCCCTCTGCAACTGGATCCTGGACTTCCTGACGGGCCGCCCCTAGGTGGTAAGGGTAGGTAACAACACATCTGCCACACTGATCCTCAACACGGGGGCCCCTCAGGGGTGCGTGCTCAGTCCCCTCCTGTACTCTCTGTTCACCCATGACTGCATGGCCAGGCACGACTCCAACACCATCATTAAGTTTGCCGACGACACAACAGTGGTAGGCCTGATCACCGACAACGATGAGACAGCCTATAGGGAGGAGGTCAGAGATCTGGCCGTGTGGTGCCAGGACAACAACCTCTCCCTCAACGTGACCAAGACAAAGGAGATGATTGTGGACTACAGGAAAAAAAAGAGGACTGAGCACGCCCCCATTCTCATCGACGGGGCTGTAGTGGAACAGGTTGAGAGCTTCAAGTTCCTTGGTGTCCACATCACCAACGAACTATCATGGTCCAAACACACCAAGACAGTCGTGAAGAGGGCACGACAAAGCCTATTCCCCCTCAGGAGACTAAAAAGATTTGGCATGGGTCCTCAGATCCTCAAAAAATTCTACAGCTGCACCATCGAGAGCATCCTGACTGGTTGCATCACCGCCTGGTATGGCAACTGCTTGGCCTCTGACCGCAAGGCACTACAGAGGGTAGTGCGTACGGCCCAGTACATCACTGGGGCAAAGCTCCCTTCCATCCAGGACCTCTATACCAGGCGGTGTCAGAGGAAGGCCCTCAAAATTGTCAAAGACTCCAGTCACCCTAGTCATAGACTGTTCTCTCTGCTACCGCACGGCAAGCGGTACCGGAGTGCCAAGTCTAGGTCCAAAAGACTTCTCAACAGCTTCTACCCCCAAGCCATAAGACTCCTGAACAGCTAATCATGGCTACCCGGACTATTTGCACTGCCCCCCCACCCCATCCTTTTTACGCTGCTGCTACTCTGTTAAGTATTTATGCATAGTCACTTTAACTCTACCCACATGTACATATTACCTCAACTACCACAACTAGCCGGTGCCCCCGCACATTGACTATGCAACGGTACCCCCCTGTATATATAGCCTCCCTACTGTCACTTTATTCTATTGTATATATAGCCTCCCTACTGTCACTTTATTTTTACTTCTGCTCTTTTTTTCTCAACACTTTTTTGTTGTTGTTTTATTCTTACTTTTTTGTTTAAAATAAATGCACTGTTGGTTAAGGGCTGTAAGTAAGCATTTCACTGTAATGTCTGCACCTGTTGTATTCGGCGCATGTGACCAATAAAATTTGATTTGATTTGGAATTTGATTTGATTTGATTTGATTTGATGTAATAGTTACAGCTTTATTCATAACATGATAATTGATTGTAGGAAGGTTTAAGGTCATTCTAAATACTGTTGCTGCTCATGTAGAAGACAAAACAGCAGCTCTATACAACCGCTTCTACTTGTGTATCTCTTCCAGGCTCTCAACAACCTGTACATGAGGACTCATCACCTGTGTACGAGAACCCGTTACCTGTGTATGAAAACGCACAACAAAATCTATCTCCTACTCTACTGCTGAGAGTGAGTAAGACCTGGTTACCAAACCAAAACTGCAAGAAGGACTTTGTTTTATCAAGATATAAAGTGTGAAAAATATGAATCTACTGTATGCAAAGACTGTTTGGTTATGATAGTCTTAACCAGGAAGTTCCAGTTTTGACTCAATGCCAGCCATTCAGTCTCTGGCCTATTACGTTATTCATTAACAAATAATAGCTATCAAAGTTTGTTTAGGAAACTGAGGTTTTATATTTTGTCATGGCAACTGTTGGTGTGGCTGTTCCTTCTATGTTATGCCTTTTTTAATTTCTGCTTTTATCCCAAATTAGGAAATGCAGGACATCAATAGTACCTATGATACGACGATAATGGTAAGTTTGCATTGGTTAGACCATATGTCACCATGTGATTGCAATACTGTCAAAACCATTGATTTATGTAATATTTGTAAAGTGGTCTTCATGCTGTGTCAGTCCTGATAAATGGAAGTTAATGTTCCTTTCTTTTCTCCATCACCTTCAATCTAACCGTAAAATAAGTCAATGGAAAATACCTTCATTCAACCACCATTCTCCAGTGAGTTCCATCATCAACACATAGAACACCTGCATGATAACACCCAGTGTGGATGTGTAATATAACGTACATAATCAATACATTATAATTGATGATGCTGAGGCTACGGACCTGACTGCTTCCTCCTTGACTCTGACCGGCTCCATTCTCTGCAATACCATCAATACAGTCGCTCTCATTGCCATCCTATCTGCTTCTCCCAGATCATCAACATCCATCATCCAAAACTGTCACAATTTGATTAATCTTTGTTATCGTTTGTTTTTACTTCTATATTCAATTAAGCTTTTAGCTGCCATGTATACAAAATATGATTTGTTATTGTTATTGCTTTTGTATTATGTAAAAACAGAATGATTCATAAAGATTGCCATCTATTTCTCCATCAAGTCTGTTGTTCTTTGTGTCACGTGTGACCGGTAATACAGTGGGGGAAGAAAGTATTTGATCCCCTG